CCCCCCTCCCCGCCTCCAGCCCAGCAGCCAGGCGCCTGGCTCCTGGGCCAAAATTAACTGTGCGAGTGAGTGCCCTGCTCTCCTGGGTTAAGGGGAGCCCCACCTCCTCACCCCAGTGTGTGCCGCTTGCAACGGTAGCCATGGAAACTGCCTGTAACCTTGTGAACAGCTAAAATTCATGTATTTTTTGGTTGGTTGTTTTTAAAAACATGCAGATTCCCTTTGTGCTTTCACACTCCTGTGGGGACGAGTGAGGGGGATACAGGGCACGAGATCGTCCTGCCAGCGTGCCTTCACCCCCTCCCCCTGTGCTCACGTGGCAGGGCCCGGACCCCAGGAGCCGGGGTCCCCAGTGGGCTGAGCCCCTGAAGGGCCAGTGCCCCTTCCACCTGGGCCTCCCCCCAGACAAGCCCTCACCACTCAGCCTCCCCGAAAGCAGGGAACTTCCCACATGGCTCCCCGCCCACTGCTCAGGGAGGGTCCCTGGGAACCCAAACCCGGTGAGAACATAAGGCTCCGCCATCAATAGTCCAGGCAGATGTGTACCCCGGCAAGGAGCTGAGCTGTGGGCCCTGCCCTCCAGGGCTTTCTCGTCGAGAAGAGGAGACCGTGCTTGAATTGTCCTTTATTTCAAGTGAGTGCCCTGCTCTCCTGGGTTAAGGGGAGCCCCACCTCCTCACCCCAGTGTGTGCCGCTTGCAACGGTAGCCATGGAAACTGCCTGTAACCTTGTGAACAACTAAAATTCATGTATTTTTTGGTTGGTTGTTTTTAAAACCATGCAGATTCCCTTTGCGCTTTCACACTCCTGTGGGGACGAGTGAGGGGGATACAGGGCACGAGATCGTCCTGCCAGCGTGCCTTCACCCCCTCCCCTGTGCTCACGTGGCAGGGCCCAGACCCCAGGAGCCGGGGTCCCCAGTGGGCTGAGCCCCTGAAGGGCCAGTGCCCCTTCCACCTGGGCCTCCCCCCAGACAAGCCCTCACCACCCAGCCTCCCCGAAAGCAGGGAACTTCCCACATGGCTCCCCACCCACTGCTCAGGGAGGGTCCCTGGGAACCCAAACCCTGTGAGAACATAAGGCTCCGCCATCAATAGGTCCAGGCAGATGTGTACCCCGGCAAGGAGCTGAGCTGTGGGCCCTGCCCTCCAGGGCTTTCTCGTCGAGAAGAGGAGACCGTGCTTGAATTGTCCTTTATTTCGCCTTAATGTCAGAAAGCTGTTCTGCTGGGCAGAACATTCTAGGTTGGGGTGCCTTCTTTGGAGATGCTGCCCACTGTCTCCTGGCTTTCATCATCTCCGGTGCAAAGTCTGCCGTCCGTACCTGTATCCCTGTAAACGAGGCATGTGCCTTTTTCTCTAAAGGCACCTTTGTCTTCATCCTGGTTTTAAGGAATTTGGTTTGTTCCTCAGTGTTGTTCTCTTCGTGCTTCTTGTGTTTGTGTTTCTGAGTGTTTGGGTCTGTAGGTCCACAGTTTTGCACCCACTTTGGAAATTTTTCATCCAGGACTACTTCTGAGCATTTTTCTGCATCCTCCTTCCTTTAGGATTTCCAGTTACACATATACGAGGTCACTTGAAGTTTCCCCCGTCTCTCTGAGGCTCTGTTTACTTATTTACATTTTGTCTTTTCTCTCTCTGTGTTCATTCTGGATAGTTTCTATCACTGTCTCTAAGCTCACCTGTCTTTGCTTCTGCACTATGTAAATTAGTGTTAACCCCATCCAGTATATTTTTCATCTTAGACATTGTACCTTTTTTTATCTCTACAAATTTGATTTTGTTCTTTTTAACATCTTCCATGTTTCTACTTAATGTGTCCAATTTTTTCTCTAGTGTTTCAACATGTGGGCGACAGTTACAATAACTATTTTAATGTTCTTGTCTCCTAATTCTATCATCTGTGCCATTTCTGGGTTAGCTGATTTTTCTCATCATTGTGGATTGTATTTGTTTTTGTCTTTGCATGCCAAGTAATTTTTTACTGGACGCTAACCTTGTGAATCTTACCTTGTTGGGTGCTAGACCCTGTACGTGTTTGTGAACTTTGTTCCGGGTTTTGGTAGTTGCTTGAAAATAGTTGGTTTCAGCCCTAGCTGTTATGCTCTGGGAGGCAAGAACGAAGCATGTTTAGTCAAAGCCCTCTGACTTTTCTACCCAAGGCTCCAGGAATTATGACTTTTCCTCTCTGATAGGAGCAGGAACTATTCCTGGACCTGTGTGAGCTTCCAACATTGTTCCCTAGAATCCTTTCAAATGGTTCTTTCTCCTAAAAAAAGAGTTCCTTCCTCTGACCCCAGGGAGTGTCACCCACAGAGCCGTGCTGACCGGCATGTAGCTGGCTTTTCAAGGGGACCCTCTGCAGGCATTCCTACTTCTCCCTATGTAGCTCCTCCTGCTGGGACCCTGCCGTGTGCAGTGGCATCCTGCAGCTTCCTGGGACTCAGCTGTCTCTCCCCAGCTCAGGGGGACCACCAGGCCCCACCTGGATTCCCCTGCCCTGCAGCGCGGAGACTCACCATGTGGGGAGCCTGTTCAGTCTGGACTCTCCTCATTCCTTGCCCATCTCTTGATGATGGTCCCTCATCAGCTGATGTCAGTGCCTTGGGAACCGTTGTTTCACAGATGTTGTCCTGGATACTTAGTTGTTTCAGGCCGGAGGGCAAATCTCAGCCCAGTTCCTCCGTCTTGGCCTGGACCCTGATTAGCCATTGCTGCTCCTCAGGGCGTAGGTTAATGCTCCCACTTATGAGGGGAGTCCCAGCATCACCCCCACTTTGTCAGCGAGCACAGAGACACAGAGGAGTTGAGTGACTTACCCGGGGTGATGCCGAGCCTGGAGGCGAGCCCTGGGCCACCCAGTGCCGCCTCTCAGAGACAGTGGTTCCCCATCACACAGCCACCCAGGCCCGAAGCCTCAGGGTCCCCAGGACTCCTCCCCATCCTGCCTCCCAGTCACCCCCTTCTCTGTGTCTCCACCGCCCTTGTTACCTGAAGCCTATGCTAGCCTCCAGACGGCCCCTCCTCCCCTGCCTCCATGCCCAGCCACCCACCCCACGGCCACAGGGGGATTCTTAAAAAGCAGAACTGACCCAGTGACGGCCTTGTCAACACCCTCCTGTGCCTGCCCGCTGGGTTCACTCATTCACTCATCACTCAGCCGAGGTAACACATGCCACTGTTCGGGCACGGGACACAGCAAGAAGCAAAGCAGACAGAGCCCTGTCCTCAGTGACTCGGATTCCCGGAGAAGAGACATACAGTAAACGAGTACATAATGTGTGAAGGGGCAAGGGCTGGAAGCATGAGACTCTCAGGGTACAGCCCCAGGGATGCAGCAAAACAGTACTCAAAACACAAAGGGGAGGCAGTCAGCAGGGCTCTGTCAGGGCTCCCCACATCTCTGGGCCAGGCTTTGGGCTGCCCGGAAGTCCCGCTCCCTGAGGACCAGGAAGAGGCTGGCACCCCAGCCCTGTTCCCCGCTGTGACCTCCACACGGCACAGGCTGGCTCACTGCCCACACCCCACAGATGCTTGCGGAGACTGGCGTGAACATCTTGTTCCAAAGAGGAGGACTCAATGCCCGTGGTCGCCCTGGCACCAGGGCGAGGAGCCTGGATTCACCCCCAGGTCAGTCTGACTCCCAGACAGACCAGGGCTGCCGCCTCCCCCGAAGTCTGTGCTGACTGTGACCTCTGCTCTGAGCCGTCCGGCACTCACCCCCACGCGCCCCTGTTCCCCGGAGCACGTGGCAGCCCCTCCAGGCCTCTGTTCCCCAGAGCATGCAGCAGCCCCTCCAGTCCTGGAGTCAGGACGCAGTGACTGGCTGTTCTTGCTGGACAGGGTGCTTGTTCAATCACTGTGCAATGCCAGAGGTGGCCGTTTCTGTAAAAGTCTCCTGTCCCCTCAGCCTGGCCCTGAGTTCTGCCTGTCACTGATCTTGGGCGAGTGCCAGTCTGTCCTTGAGCCTCAGTTTCCTTATCTGTAAAGTGGGGTCAACTTTTCTGACTCCAGGGACAATGTGTGTGTGCTCAGTTGCTTGGGTCGTGTCCAACTCTTTGTGACCCCAGGGACTCTACCCTACCAGACTCCTCTGTCCACGAGATTTTTCTTGGCAAGAATACTGGAGTGGATTGCCATGACCCACTCCAGGGGATCTTCCAGACCCAGGGATAGAACCCACATCCTCTGCGTCTCCTGCATTGCAGGCAAATTCTTTCCCGCTGAGCCATGGGGGAAGTCAAGGATGATGGTGCGGCTTAAAGATGTGACCTGCGCTGTCTCCCCGGAGCACCAGTGGCGCAGGCGCTGTCCCCATCTGCTTTCGCAGACGGTAAACCGAAGCTCTGGGGACAATGGGGCTTTCCTGATGCCATACAGCAGGCCAGGAGCGGAAGCAGATGTGGTCAGGGTCTCCTGGGCTCAGCAGCCTCAGTCTCCCCCTCCACTCGCCCCTCTGGCATGAGCCCTTCACAGCCAGCTTGATCCTCTTCCCGGAAATGCATCAAAGGCTCCAAAGTCTCCGTCTGCCTCCTCCAGCACTTGGCTGCCAGGGGCTCTGCTGTGGCCAGTGACTCCATGCACGGGTAGGCAGAGAGCGCCTGCTGTTTACCGGAGCCTGTGCATCAAGGGCACGCTGACGGTGCAGGGGCTCCCAGGGCCTCTCGGGGACTGGCAGGAAGGCGGCAGCTCATACGAAAGCGCGGGGTGTGCAGAGGAGGGAGCAGGCTTCCTGCAGACGGAGAGACCCGCACATCAGCCGGCAGGGTCAGCAGGAACCGGCTGCCTGGAAGGAAGCGGGCGGCAGTCCCAGGGGCTTCCCAAGCCGAGGGACCGTGGGGCAAGGACAGGCTGGTGCCCCCACAGCGCGGAGGCGGGGCATCCAGGCTGGCCCCAGGGAAGTGGCTTCCGTCCTTCCGGATGGCAGTCCTCCTAGGGAGCTCCCTGGTCCAGCAACATCGGCAGCTCCTTAGGACCTTCTGGATGGGCATTCTCGGCACACCTGGACCTCTGAGCAGAAGCTTCCAGGGGAATCCGTGCAGCCCACAGCCCCCAGGGGGAGCCGGTGCGGCCTAGGGTGAGAATCTCCAATTTCCTCGAGGGGGCAGGCACTGGCTGGGGAGCCAGTCTGGCCCAGAGTCCAGGAGGCAGGAGGGAAGGGGGCGGGATGGAGCGCTGAGGCCTTGGTGTTGTCTCAGGGGCCATTCCTGCCCCCGACTCACCCAGGCAGACAGCGCCCTGAGGTTAGGCCTGGGGGGGCGCTCCCCAAGCCACAGTGGCACGGCTCTGTCGACCCTTGGGCTTCCACGGGCCCTTTACGGAGAGGGGAGGTCTCGGAAGTTGGGGTCAGCGCCACCACATAATAGACACAGATGTGTTGAAGGAGCGGACAGACAAGTGCCCGGGACCAGCCGGGTGTGGGTGGGAAGCTCGTGCAGGCGGGGGTGGCCGGCTTACTTGGATGCCTCAGCGATCTGGCGGCCGTGGGGGTCATGTCACTGTGGCCCCCTCAGGCCTGGGCAGTGGCCGGCTCTGTGGACACGGGAAGGACCCCCGGCAGGCAGGCGCCCCAACCTTGGGCCCACAGTCATGCCTGGCCCTGAAAGCCCGCCCTGCCGTGCCCGGGACAGCCGTGCAGCTGCAGGGGCGGGAGCCCAGCCTGCCACGGGAGGGCAGTCCTGGGTCACCGAGCACAGATGCGTCCCTGCCGAGTCTCTGAGCCTCTGTTTGCCCCCCGGGGTCTAGCTGAGTCACAAGGATTTTACCAAACGCTCGTAGGGTTTTGTGGATCCCAGGGCTGAGCCGCAGTCCTGGGCCAAGGCCGAATCGGGTCCTGCTTGTGCCCCGGGCAGACCTGGACACCCCGCGTCTATTCCTTGCTCGTGCTGAGGGTTCCTGTGAGGGCGAAGCGAAACACGGCAGGCAGAGCCCTTGCCCAGCGCCCAGCGCCCAGATTTCGTACGTGCTTGGTAAGTGGAGCTCTGGCGGTCCCAGGAGCCCTGGCCCGGACGCCCTCCTGCACAGGTCCCCAGCTCTAAGCTGGTTCCGGGGGCTGTGCCCAGGCCTTAGACGAGGAAGGTAAAAAGAATAAAGCTGTCAAGCAGCAGAAAGGGGTTTTGCAAACCCAGCTTCTGCACACGGTTATTTTAAGGGAGAGAAAACGCCTGCCCCTGAGCTGGGCTTCCCTCGCGGGTCTCAAGCCGCCTTCCCAGAAAGCCCTGAATGGGGCACCCCAGTGCCTTTCTCCTGACCGGGACCCCCGCCCTCCACACCCCGACCTGGCCTACAGCACCCACCGTGTCTGCCGTCCGCTCCACCTGCCCAGGACACACTGGGGGCGGCCATGCCGGAGCTGGGGGCCGCGGGGCCGAGACCCCATCCCTTGCTTTCCCACTTTCAGGACCCGCTCAGCCAGGCTGTGCCAAATGGCCCCTGACAGTTCAGTCCACCTGCCGCGCGGAGTCATCCCTGTGTCCTTGGGCGGCCCTGCCCCCCAGTGGCAGGTGGACTATGGAGCCGAGGCCCCCCAGGTCCCTGCCTTCAAGGGGCTTCCATTCAGCAGGGGGCCGGGAGACACGTGCGCCCCGCCACCCCACCGCAAGCAGGGGTGGGCTGGGAGCAGGGGTGACCAGACAAGACGCCCACCCGGAGTGGCGTGCCCAGGCTCTGCCCCACTCCCCACCTCTAATCGTGTGAGCTGTGTCTGGCTGTTTCCTTGTTGGCCGAAGGGGACCATGATGACCCTGCTCAGACCCTCCTAGGGATTCAAGATGCTGGTCAAGGGTGTGGCGCCCTGCCTGGCACAGAGGAGGTGTTCAGGATAGGACCATGTGCTTACTGCTATCCTGAGGCCCTGGGGAGCATCCTCTGGACGAGCCGTGCAGTGGGGGAGGCAGGGGCTCCAGGCTAGACAGCAGCGGCCACAACTCAGGCTTTAATTTTGCAGTGGGTTCTGAACACCGGCCTCACAAGAGGACCCTCTGGGCCAGACCTCCCCCCCAGCACTGCCCACTGTCCCAAACGACCAGGGAGGCCTCGGGCAGCATTGGCCTAGCTCCTTAACAGAGGCCAGGAGGGGCTCCTCCTGCTGCTCCCTGGGAACAGCGCCCGCCTGGGGACCAGGCCAGAGAGGGCAGGAAGGCCACCCAGCTGGGGGTGCCCAAGTGGTGGGGAAGCCGGGACGCCCGGCCCACTCAGGTGCGGCAAACCCCTGCTCCCCCCAGTTCCCCAGCCACCAGGCCCTGGGGTCCACCCCAAAACCTCTCCTCCCAGACCACAGAGCCTCGGGCTTCTCTCCTCAGGGCCACAAAATGGGGTGTCCATCTAATCGGGTTTTCCTCTTTCGTGGTGGGTTGACTCACTCCTCCAGCCTCAGTGGACCCCTGGGAAACGCGAGTGGGGTGATGGTGCAGAAAGATGTGTCTGAGCTCTGCTTCCCACGTGGCACGGGAGTGGGGGGGTGCCTCGCGGTGCACCCTGGGGGAGCTGCGGGCTGAGATGAGAGCAACACGCGGGTGCGGTGGTCACTGATGTCCTCCTGAGCCCTGACGTTGCTGAGCTGAGGCCCGCAGAAGTGGGGAGCTGCAGCTCCCCATGGCACCCCAGTCTCCCTCCCAACCCCGCTCCGGAGCTCTGCCAGGGTCCCACTGGGAAATTCTGGCTCCTCCTTCAGAAGCTCGAGGACCCTGAAGCCTTTCATACACAGTCGGTGCCCCTGAGTCCCTGTCGGGCGCCCTGCTCTGGGCTGGGCAGCAGAGCCGTGGACCGAAGTCAGGGCCCTGCTCTCCCCAAGGAACTGTGGGGAGAGCTTCTGGATGTTCGTGAACCCCAGAAACGGCTGGCAAAATGGGACAGCCCCTGTTCTCTTTCTGGGGCCCCTGGAGAAGTGCAGACCGCAAAGCGGACCAGCCCGAGGCGTCCACAGCATTTTCTGGACACCAGTAACCCGGCCCCAACCCACCTGGCCGTACCAAGGCCCGCTGCTGCAGGCATCCTCCGGCCTTGGGACCCAGGGTGGGCATAGGCCCAGCTCACTAGATCCCGGTGCCTGGCTGGCCTGGGTGCTCTCTGAGCTGGGCTGGGCTGGTCTGGCTGAGGATGGAGCTTGGCGGGGGATGGGGGGCCGCTCCAGGTGCGGTTGGGCACAGCCTCTGCAGGCTCCAGGCTGCTCCTGCCAACGCCCCCCACCCCCCACCCCAGTCAGGCTCTGGGTAATATCTCGGAGACCAGCCGCAGCGATGCGGAGCACTTCGCCGTCTATTTATTACCAAACGCAGGAATCTGGGAGCCCGCGGAGCGTGAAATTAGGACCAAATGTGGAGGAGGTCTAGACAGGAACTCCGGCCGCTCCCGCTCGCGGACGACGGGGCCCTTGGGCTCCCAGGAACCAGACAGATGCTGCGGAGGGCAAGCCGTCGGCCAGACACCAGGGTGGTGAGAGGCTGGCAGGGGCAGCAGACCCAGGTCCCTGGCCACGCTCTGCCCTCTGCCCTCCCCCCAGCCCTGGCTCCCGGTCTAGAAAGGAGCAGGAGCATCACCACTGCTTGNAGACTGGGGCTGTGGGGAGGGGGCAGGGGCCTGCCCAGCCCCCCTCCACAGACTCTGGGGCTGGGGGTGCCCAGAGGGGGCACCCCCCTCTCTCAGCTTCTCCCTGTAAAAGCCAGGGGCAGGACAGGGAAGCAAAGCCGTTTATAAAGCTTTAAAACCGTTTATGGTCCCAGGGGGCAGATTAACAATTCAGCGCAATCCTGGCCAAATCGTCTTGGCGGGCAGGCGGGTGGTGCGCGGAGATTGGGGTGGGGGTGGGGGCTGGAGGAGGCACAGCGGTGGCGGGCGGCTCCCCCAAAGCTGTCACTGGACCCGCGGCCCCTCACTGTCCCTTGCCTTCCTCTCCCAGTCTGGCCCATCAGATAGCCATCCTTCCGGGACGGCTCGGAAGCCTCCTCCTCCAGGAAGCCCCCCAGGGTTCCCCAACACAATAGCACCGCCTGAACCCTAAAGCGGTTGGCTGGTCTCTGGGGCACTCAGCCATTCGCAGGACGCAAGTGTCCGGGGGACGCTGGGTCAGCCCAGTCTCCCCTCAGACCCCTCACCTCGGTGTCCTGCTGGGCAGAGACCCTGGCACAGGAAGGAGAGCCGGAAAGCAACAGCTCAGCAAGGCCTGGGCCTTGGGGAAAGGGCCTCTGGCTGCCGTTCTTCCACTGACTTGCTGTGTGAAGTCACGCGTGTCCCCCCCACACCCCGTTACTACCCGTGCGCTGGCCTCAGTCTCCTCCTACCGCCCCCGTTAAGCAGAGGTGTGGGACATGGTCCTTGCAGGAACTGGCACTCCAAGGTTCTGTGAGTTGCTTTAAGAAGTCCAGGAAGGCTTCCTGGAGGAGGAGGCATGTTCTGGTCACTGATAGTAGCGCAAAGCCTGCAGAGGCAGAGGGAAGAGCACCCTTGGGGTGGGGCCAGGTAAGGGCAGAGGGGCGGCTGGAGGATGGGGGTGAGGAAGCCACGTCACTCTCAGGGGCTGATGTCAGGCTGGGGCGTAAGCAAAGCTGCCAGGGGTGCACGTGGGTGCCTGCTGCCGGGCCTGGGCCTGGGACCGGCGCCCAGCTCGGGCGTTGCTGCCCCTTGGCATGCCCGTGTCTGCAGAGTGAGGCTGAGGCGCTCCAGCTGGACGGGGCGGGGGTGTCAGAGCCGCGGCTGCTGACAGCCCTGGCGCCTGGCCTGTGAGGGCACTCTCCCATCACGCCACCAGGCTGCCCGCCGCTGGAGGCCCCCCACCCAGAGCCAGGAAGAGCGAGGGGCCACTGTGTCTCCGACCCGGGAGGGGACTGCGTGGCCACACCCTCGGGGACCCGGTGGAAGGTTTAGACGCAGAGAGGGAGGTGTGTCCAAGCGCAGCACACCTGCCTTCTGGCGGAATCCTCCCGTGCGCTCCCATTCTGCAGAGGAGGAGACTGAGGCCCAGAGAAAAGGAGGCAATTGGAGCCCCGTCCTTGCAACTAGCAGGAGACAGGGCCACGCAGGGAGCAGCTTGCATGCCGGGGCGGGGTCCGGCTTCCCTCCTGTCCTGCCTCCCCGACCTCT